ATAAAATCATCGTGATATTCCCTTTAATATTTTAAACATTTATATGAATTATGCTTCCTCAACATACTATTGACAACATTCAATTTTCTAACTAAGAACAACTAAAAAAAAAAACAGTATTAAAGGCAACTGCAAGAGTTGTTGAGATTGGCCTTTAAATCAGCTATAAGCTTGATTAATGTCAATTGATGATTTCAAAAACGTCCTGAAATATATATTTTGCTTATCACTTCCACTGGCATTTAAAAAAAAATCTGATAAGTGACTGCAAGTTCCCTTTTCTTACATTTTGTTTTGTTTTCACAGATTTTTTTTTATTATTCCGATGACATATTTGTTCATACGTGAGCAAACACACAAACATTTTCGGAGAATATAAAATTTAAATCTAGATTCAGAAACATAAACTGTCAATTTCCAAATAGCAAATGTTATTTTCAAAGAAAATAACTTGGACGAGTATTACAAATTACTGATCAGAAGTAACTAACGATTGACACATTACTGTTTGCACGAAACAGTGGTGCAATGAAAAGAATGGACATAATAATCGATAGAAAGTCGGTTTATAAGTAACATATCCTTCAAAAGATTCAAGGACGCCATTAAATTTGGTTGACCAGTTTTTAGAACCCAGGCTTTGATTATTGTCTAATTTCGGTGTCTGTATATATAGTTGCCACGGAAACTTCTAGAACACTGTAGAAGGGAAACTTCTAGAACACTTCAGAAGTTTAAATGAAGCATCGTAGATTATGATCATTCTGGAATTGTTATGTCCGTCAAATAGAAAGTTCTAATCATCCCATCAGTATCTACGATGTTTCCAGTGATTTCTAAACAACACAATACCATTATTTTGTAAACAACTATAAATAGGTCACAACCCAATTATGTAAACATCTTATAAGGCAACAGAAAAGAAATTAAGCCAATATAAATAATCATATAATTAAAATCTCATGACACCTTTACCCTTAAAGAAAGTTTGAGTGTAACGAGAACTTTTCATGACATTATATCAATAAGATCTAGATAAAGCATATGCTATTACACTATATATACCTTTAATGTGTTTTATAATACCATCATATTCCTATAATAATAAACTCCACCTAGTCAACCTCTGGTTCTTGTTTCTCATTTTTGTATGAAGGTAAGATTTGATTGTGACAATTTACCAAAAGTATCAAATAAATGTGTTAAATGGTCTTCCCAGCTATCACTACATACAATAAGATCATCAATATGAGCATAACAACAGTCTAAATCTTTTATAACAGTATTGATCGTTCTTTGAAATGTAGCTGGAGCACTTTCGTACCAAACGGTAAGCATTTAAGCATTTATCTAATTTCTTGTCTCATAAATTCAAGTTTCAGTGGATTGAGCCGGTAAAGATGTTGCTTAATTAGAGAAACATCGTCTACATCGACATCGACGGTATACTGAAATAAACCGTCTGGTGTGACAAAAGCTGATATTTCACGAGATCTCGGTGTCAAGGGCACCTGCCAGTAACCTTTCAATGAATCAAATTTGCTCGCAAATTCTGCTTGCCCAATGTTATCAATGCAGTCGTCTATCTTTCATTTGTCCTTGGAATCGGATAGGAATCATTTTTTGAAACAGAAATAATTTTTCTAAAATCAGTTGCGAAATGAAAGGTTTTATTTAATTTGATCACAATGAGACAGGGAGAACTCCATTCCTTGTTACTCGGCTCAATAATATCATTGTTAAGCATTTATCTAATTTCTTGTCTCATAAATTCAAGTTTCAGTGGATTGAGCCGGTAAAGATGTTGCTTAATTAGAGAAACATCACCTACATCGACATCACGACAAACAGTTTTGGTTCTGTTTGGCACATCTTGAAAAAGATATTTAAAAGAAAATACCAAAGTTTTCATTTTTTTGCGATCAAAAGTCAAATACGCAAGTTTTGAGTCTACATTTGACAAACTTTCTGAATTTTTCAATATTACTGTTTGTTCCATAGTCTTAGAATCAAAAGGTGGTTCAATTATATCTGGTTTGTCTTGATAGTTCTCCAATGTAACCACGGCTAAAGTGGCAACGTATTTGCTCTCACCTTTATTTGCACGTTTAAAATATGGTTTAACATATTAATGTGACACACTCTATTTTTGTACAACAACCTGAAGTTTTTACAATATTATTCAAGTCATTGATCTTAATCTCTTTTTCATAAGGAACACAGTATTTAGCCTGTAAAGGATGTCCAGGGACTTTCAAAAATACAAGTATTTTATCAACAGGCTCAAAAACTCTGTCCCTGGCATCTTTATCATACCATATTTTCATCTTTTTCTGATCTTTTAAAAAAAAATTCTAAGCAATTTAACAAGCAGTATACAACTTTTCTTTAAATCTAGATACATAGTCTCAAAGAGACTAAAGTCAATGTGTTCAGTACGCCATTTGCCTTTAACTAATTTCAAAGGTCTCCTTACAGTATGACCAAACACCAACTCAAATGAGATAAAACCTAGGGATTGTGGAACAGCATCTCGGACCAAAAAAAGTAGAAAGTGAACACCATTATCCCATTCCCAGTCAAATTGAAGACAAAAAGTTCTAATCATGTTTTTCAATGTTTGATGAAAACGTTCTAAGGCACCATGAGATTCTGGATAATAAGCAAATAATCTACACTGAACAATCCCTAACTGGTAAACAACCTGCTGAAATAAACCTGACATGAAATTTGAACCCTGGTCGGACTGTATAGACTTAGGAATTCCTCCTGACGTAAAAAAAATTGATAAGAGCTTTGACAATAGCTGGTGTCTTAATATTCCTTAACGGAATAGCCTCAGGAAAGCCAGTAGATGTACACATGATCGTCAATAAATACTCATTTTCAGTCTTGGTCTTTGGTAAAGGTCCAAAGCAATCAATAAGTACTCGGCCGACAGGTTTGTCAAAGGCTTGAATTAGCAGAAGTGGTGCTGGCTGTATCTTTTAATAAGGCTTACCAACAACCTGGCATATATGGCATGATTTGCAATGAAATTTACTGAATGGTTGTACATTTTCTGTATGTGTACAATCAGGCTATAAATGGTTACAATGAATTTAAACTTGTACAGCCGTGAAAATCTCAAGAATTTTCCATGTTTTGAATTAGTTGTATGTCAATTTTGTTTGCAAATATATATTTTTTACGTTAAACCGTCTCTACCTTTCTTCCTAGCTGATTAGAAGATAGGAATTTTTTATGTTCGCGTAATTTTTCTATTTTTCTATCTTGAACTATCTATATTATGATAAGTATGAAATAACGCTAATTTTTTTTAGAAGAAATCGCAATTACACGCTGAAGGAACGATTCCACGGGTAGGTTAAAAGACCTGTGTGTAATTTGGATGTATGAAATCACTTCAAAGCGACAAAGGGTGTTACCAAAGAGATGAGGAAATCTCTTCAAAATATACTACGGATTTCGCTCCAATGTTTTAAAATAACAAACTTTTTAAATCACTGTAATAAATTGATAGTATATAAATAACGGACCTTAAAAAGTAGAAAAAAATGACAGGTCCTTTTCCTTGCTTTTGAGACATAATCAATTGAAAATTTTGCGGGAAATGATTCTCTCTAGATTTTTCCTACATTTACATTGGCACCTTTTTTCTCTCAAAGATTATGAAAAAGACAAGGATTTTATAAGATTAAAAAAAATAACTTTTAAAACTACATACAATAAAATTAAGAAAAAGAAAGGAGGGGTTAGCGCCCAAAGTTTGTATTTGTACTATATGAACAAAACTAGCGGATTCCGAATATCTGACACAAAAGAGTAAAACAAGAGTAATGAATATCCTTAAAAAAGTCCCATTATATATTTTGGGGGTAATTTTTTACAATATTTAGGGATTTCAAAATTAGGTATTTGGGAAGGATTTTTTTTATGTGGGGTCTAACATATTTTCCTAAGTACTTTCTTGCATAGATATGTCAAATTAAAAAAAAAGAAATGATTCAGAAATTAAACTAAAGTATCCCTAAAACTGATCTTACGTATGATTCGTCAAGTGTAAGTGCCTTTCGTCAAATTGTAAGAAAGTTAAACTAACACACACTATTTATATTAGTCGTTTACTCATTCATTGTCATTACTGTTAAATTGTCATGAGTATTCCTTAACGATAGACCTACTTCGATATATCTTTTTCACAATTAAGGGTCAGGTACAGTTCGTTTCACCGATGACAGAATTTTGTAATCCTGTAATTAATCATCTGAAAGCGATCTACAAACGCTACGATTTCAAAATTACAGAACATTTTACAATATACGACTCACTCCGTCAATATTAATATATTATAATATAAGGGCATACGATACAGTTAAAGGGGAGGTAATGACGTTGATATCGTAAAATATTATTTTTCACGACGTCACACTGTGATATATCGGGAAAAGATGCATTTTAGACTGATTTTTATCATTCAGACTAATTTAACATGAAAACGAGTTCATGGACCCCTCTTTTTAAAAATGACATTTGGCTTGATTATGTATGAAGATTATTTTTTCATATTTCCCAAATGTCTTAATTTTTACATATATTTTATGTGTTGTTTCTGATAATAATGTATTATCTTCATGTCATTGTTCCTTAATTTGTCTTTTTTTTTCACATTGATACTTCGAAATTAAGTGTCCTGTTTCAAGTTTTGGTTGGTTTTCTAGGAGTTGCTTTTCGTTATCGGATGTTTTGATTTTGTGCTGTGTTTTATATGGTATATTAAAAAAAAATGTATCCAAACTTTCATCGGATTTTCCAGCCAAATCAAATGAAATAAAAACTTGAACTTAGTGTCATTGTTATTGAAAATGTCTGTACCAAGTGTAGGATATATCAGTTCTCTGCCATGTGGTCAATTTATTAACCATTAAAAATGTTTTGACTTTGTTGGTGACATTAGTCTTGAGAATTTAATATTTTCAAATTAAAAAAAAGTAGACTAGTTGACAAAACAAACTTTCGTATTTTATTTCATAAAAAGTTCTGTTCTTGATGGACATAAATGTTTATTGGATACTCCTTCATCGGTCAAGTCAACCTCAGTTATAGCAATGGTTGGCTTTGTCATTATTAGTTTCATTATAGCAATATTCCCCAATTTGTTCATAGAGCTACCACGGTCTTGCTGCATTTAATCCTTTATGTGTTAAGTTGTTTGGCATAAAAATGGTGAATTATAGCATTCTTCTTTATAAACATATTGATGATGTTAGGTTATGAGTCCCATGATTCTTTACTTGTTAGTATGATGTAACACATCTGTGTTTTGATGAATCAACAATAAAGTGGTGATATGTGCTTATATGCTGCTTCCTATTCTAATATATAACAGGTTTCTCCATATCCCTGACTAACTGGGCAATATTATGGCTATTCCTACTGGACTTGATGACACTGTCTGCAATCTGCAAGTTAATAAAATATAAATAATATTACATCATCAACAAATATTGTACATGCAGTATGTTTTAAATGTAGCCGGAAGAGACACTACATTCACATGTAAGAGTTAAGCATGTTTTTTCCCCGAAATGGATATAGGATGCAAACATGTATAACATGTATAATCTTTCTATTGAATAATTATATCTATATGATTAATCAGTGATAAGCCCCAGTAACAGACCAAGAGGTCAAGAAGGAGTGTTAAAGCACCCCACCCATACACACCCCTTTTATTGCCGAAATTTTTTTTTTTTTCTCCATATGTATAAATTTTAGTATGAAATCATCTAAAAATTTTTAAATATCACAAATTTTTTAGGGTAATCAAATATTGGGAATAACACCCCCCTTAAAAATCAAGGATCCGCTCCTGAACTTAACATTGTCTGTAAAAGCAAACACATTTAGGAATAAGATATGTATTGATGATAACAGAAAATAATCTTTCTTATCCTTGATAATCCTTGATACACTTCTTTAATTCTTTGTTGTCATATTTAGATATGTTTTTTCCAATGTACATGTGTTTGGCATTATTGCATTTTTAAGTGCTGACACAGTTAAAATCTAGTACTTTTCATAAGAAAAATGTCAATAAAAAAAATTAAACAAAAACATGACATGAAATCTAAAATTAATAAGAAAACTATTTGTGAATGTTATTTGTTTGTAATAAATGAACTCATTCTGGTTTTTATTTAGTATCTATATTGAAATCAAATATTTTAATGAATAAGAATAATGAAAACTTAAGGGAGCCTTATATCTGTATATAGAAAAAATGCTTTTGGCATAAAATAAAAAACAAATGTTAATTTTTGTAATATGCATATAATATTATTGGAATCTACTTACATGACTTATCTACATGTCCTTATAAAAATCACTTTGAATTTTAGTTCACAAATCTTTTAAACTCAGTTTACAAGTAAAATTTAAACAAAAACATAATTTAACACAAGTTTGAAATGAATGTCATCAAATGCACTTCATTGCACTAAGGTGAAAATGTGTTTAAACATGTTAAACGGTTTTTCTGATAAAAAACAAGTATATACTTTATATAAAAATGAGAAGATGTGGTCTGATTGCCAATAAGACAAGTATCTAATAAAGTTAAAATGAAGTGGTATTAAGCAATTTAAAGCACCACTGTACGGCCTTCAACAATGAGGAAAACCCATACTTTATAGCTGGCTATATTAAAATGTCCAGTGCATAAAAATGTGAAACAATTCAAACGAGAAAACTAAGAGCTCAATTCATAACAAAACAATTACAAAAAACAAGTATGACATATCATACAACAACCACTGTACTACAGGTTACTAACTTTGGAAAAAAAAACCTCCTCCAACTTGGGAGGTGTAACATTCCAACAAATGAACAAGCTACAAAACCAGTAGCAATGGGCCTAACTTAAAAGAACTGTAGGAGGCACACAAACCACTAACATAAGAACAAAAGACAAAAAGAGACAACATATGACAACATATGTATATATTAAATTGTGTTTTTTTAACTCAGCTTTTACTTCTAGACAGACATGACAGAGTTAAAAGGACAATTTATAGTTTGAGTTAAACTAGATGAAATTTTCTGAAAAAAATACTGAAGCCACTTCATAAATGTGTACATGTTATAAGGACATGTAGATGCTGGAATAATATCATGTAATATGCATATGTAGATGCTAGTCATGCTACATGCAGTATAACATGTATAATATGCATATTCAGACTAAAACATTAAGATGAAGTTTTCAGATTGGTGCTGTCAGTATAATTACATTTATAGGTGTTGTAAATTTTTAAACTTTCACCATGTTCCTTAACATCTGATTCATAAATTTTTGGGAATATATTTATAATTTGTCAATTTAAGAAAAACCACTCTCTTTCATACTAATACTAATCTACAATGTTGTGCTTTCATCATAAAAATAGTACTTGATCATGTTGATATAACAGTATTATGCCATTTGTGTAGTGTGGTAAAAAAAAGTGCATCTATATTTATAAATGATTTAGAGTCAGTAACATTTATTAATTTCAATGTGTACATTGATTTCTACATATGCTTTGCATATAAAAATACTAGTAATATTTAACAAAATGAAAGTATATTTTTGAATGCATGTAATATACATACATTTTTGGGGCCCTTTATAGTTTGCTGTTCGGTGTGAGCCAATGCTTCGTGTTGAAGACCGTACTTTGACCTATAATGGTTTACTTTTATAAATTTTGACTTGGATGGAAAGTTGTCTCATTGGCACTCATACCACACCTTCTTATATCTATGTATTAAATGTATTTCATGTATATTTATTATTATGCTTACATTCTTGTTCCAAATGGATACATACATGACAGGTCATACTTTAGCTGTTGAGAGGGATACACATCCTGAGTTATCACAACATTTATTGATTTTACTGAACAATTTCATTTAACAAACATGATAAAACAAGATAATATTAACAGAAAATATTCAAACATGTAATTTAATGTGTTTTAATCTGATTTTAATTATTCAATATAATTACCTGTATCTTGGCTGTCACCTGGGAGTTTGGTATAGTTATCATTGCAGGAAGAGCATTAGTCCCTTTATTCTGTTGCTAGCTGAACATGTACATGTGTACTGTACTTATCAAGTAAATCAGGTTTTCAGTACATGGTTTTGACACCACAATGTCAATGTTTGGAAATCTTTAGGCATGTTAAAAAGAATGTAAACCAGCACTTTTGTATTTCACTTCTGCGGCATATGTTTCATACATTCACGATTTTCTTCATTTGTTTGTGTAAAAAAGATCACACTGCATTAAACCGAAATCATCAGATTTACATGTTTTTAAACAGCGCCAACATCATCGTTCTGATTATCACGTTGAGAATTTTCTATCTGGACAAAATATAATTCATCGACAATCCGTAGCTCTTCAATAAACTCTCATCATGTTTATCTGTTAGTTGCAATGGGATACTTTAGTAAAATGAAACAAAACAAGATTCACACTCTTTCACTTTGTCAACTTTCGTTTTCGGTAAGGGAAGTAACTTAAAATATGAACAGGCTGAAATACGGAATAGTGTCAAAATGAATGTTGCGGACTTTGATAAAAAAAGACAATTACGAAATACGCACACATGGTAAGCTGTACATGTGATATTCATAGTGAAATAATATTCTTTTAAGAAGGGAACAAATATTTTGCAGGTGCTCGTCAACGACGTTAACTTTGCAACGTCATAGCCAAAATAACGTTTTACTGCATCTGGGCCCATTTTGTCAGACGTCGTCACATATTTGACCATAAATCTCATTTCATTTTTTTGTTACCATATAAAGAAACTCATGCTGGTCTAGATGTATTTATTTTGCCTCGTGAATATTGGTTGCATGTATCATTCACCAACTGAACACCTGCTTTTTTTTTTCACAGTATACACACTAGCTCTACATAAATAGTATGATAAACAAATTTATTTATAACTCGTTATAAACTAATTTTTTTTTTTGAACGCGTACTTGGAACATCTGAACTGTCCAACGTATTATTTATATGAGATGTAACTGGGCTACTCTTCATGCCAACTTTTACCCATAATCATACAGGGAATACTTCATATATGAGCTTCTCATGAAGAATGAAAAGAACCTAACAATACTCTGTCAATTCAATAGCTATACAGACGATATCCTCTCACTTAATCATTCAAAGTTTGCCGACTGTATTGAACGTATCTATCCAATCGAAGTATAAATACAAAATACCACAGATACAGTTGAGCCTGCCTCATATCAAGACTTACATCTAGAAATTTATAATATGGGTCGCTTTAGAATTTACAATATTGCTCATATAAGTACAAAATCGATTGAGAAAAACTGCAAGAAAAAGTGATGATTTCAAATTGTGAACTTTCTATATTCATTTTCTGTGTAGTAATGTGCTAGTTGCATAAGTAGTACATATCTTCAAGCTGAAAAGATATTCAAAAGCTTTCGTTTCCTATCGCGATGTCCTTGATAGATTGGTGTTACTGTTTACAAGGATGCTATTACACAAAGTGTTCGTTCTTAGGTTTAACGAACCCATCATTGTATTTTCTGTGTCTACAGTACGCAACACACATTAAGACAGAGGGATAAATTTATATCTTTCAGAGAGAATATGGTTACCGTTTGAAATGTCTATTTAAAATCGATTAGATAAATTGTCAGAAAAAACCTTGATTGTTTTTTACAAATTGCAAATAGATCTCATTCCATTTTAATTTGAAAATATTTAGATTTGATAAAATCGGTATATTAAAATGCCAGGAATATATATTTTGAAATAACTTAACACATTCCCACTAATAACCTCTTTTCATCCTTTAATTGGTATATAAATGATATACAGAAAGTCAGTCTAGTTTCGTTATAATATCTTGCCACCTCGTATATGTTATTTTGACTTATATACTTACTGAATATTGTGGAGTTTTTATTCACCGAGGGTATCACCAGCCCAGCAGTCAGCACTTCTGTGTTTACATGAATTATCATTGATATGGTCATAATTATAAATTAACTGTTTACATACTTTACATTTTTAAAATACTCAGGCTTTTCTACCTCAGGAATATATTACCTTAGCTGTATTTGGCAAAACTTCAAGGAATTTTTGGTCCTCAATGCTCTTCAACTTCGTACTATATTTTGCCCTTTTAACTTTTTTTGATTCGAGCGTCACTGATGGGTCTTTTGTAGACGAAACGCGCGTCTAGCGCAAATACAACGTTTCAATTCTGGTATCTATGATGAGTTTATTTAGCTATATTTTCACAATAATGACACTAACGCTGTGTGAATAAGCTGTGAAACAATGTAATTACAATTTACAATTTTTTCCTGAAATGCATGCCGAAGTAAATCGGAACAGTCCAGCGTATTATCGAGCGATATTTTTTTCTTTTTTGACTAGCATAGTAAAAACCAAGTAAGCTGTAATTACGACAATCAAACAAACTCATCACAACCTATCTAAAAGCGACCCGATTTAACCAAAAAGGTAAGGAAACTCAGTAGCCGATAACTAAACGACAACGCCATGGTAAAAAACGAAAAACTGCCACAAGACAAACAACAGTATTCAAAACACAAAATAGAAAACTGAAGACCGAGAAAAATAAACCCTTCAAAAACCCAGGTTGCTCTCAGGTGCTCCTGAAGGGTAAGCAGATATTGCTCAACATGTAACATCCGTCGTGTTGATAATGTAAGTACAAAATCGATGATAAATCTAATTCGGGGAAGTCCCGTTTGAGGAAAAGAGGAGGGGTTGTGGTTATTACGACCATTATCTTAATGTTCAATCAATAGATTGAAAACATTATTTATTAATACATGGGGTTATTCACTTTGAAACTCAACATACACTCCCCCGATACTTAAAAAAGAGAACATCGTGAACAATCAAATATCTAATGTATGTTTCTTTGAAATTTAATTCAAAGATAAAAAAAAAAAAATGGCTCTTCCTTCACAGTTCTGGATACCAAAATTACATAAGTGTAGGATGGATCTGGATCTGCCAAATGATCCACGAAAAATATTCATTTTTAACTATTTTGACACATTTTATCAGTAATCAAAGCCGAACTTAAGAGTTACTGTTCAATACCTACTCTAGGGTGGTGTTAATCAGATATGTATTCTAACAATTTCAAAAGAAACATTTATGAACCTATAAACATAGTACTCAAACATTTTACTTCTTTAAAGTTTACATTTGTATTTTTCGTTTTAACCTTAAACATGTTAAAGACAGATTGGAAAAAACTTTGTTTCCAAAAATGGTCAACATTAAACTATAATAAATCATACCTTTTAAATTTAATCTGATTCAAACAAGATATTCTCTCAAACTCACATCATCAAGATGATTGATGTTTTTGTAGTCATCAAATTTGTTACATTTTGAGAAAGAGTAGCAAATATGCATTCCTATGGGTGCAAACTATGTTTCTCTTCGTGTCGACTTTTCCCTTTATTCATACAATAACTTTTACTCGAAGCAAAAATATTTGCCAATCCAAAACTTATTGAAAAAATGAAGTGCTTATAAAACAAAAATTACAAAAAGTATAGCCTAAAACCGGGCAAGGAATCAGAGGTTTGCTCATGAGGGAGATAAATTCTTTAATTTAAATTTATTTTCAAAAGTTTGTGGCAGCAAATTTCAATTACACAATATCCGTATTTTCATGCAATTTAAAACCTACTGGCAACTGGCACCAGAAGAAGTATCGACACTTTAATGCATATTCATAAAAGAGCTTCTCATGAAGAAGGAAATGAAGCTATCAATATTCCTTCAGTTTATGAATGCTATATACATATGCTATCTTCTCCCTTAATCATTCAAAATTTAGCAACCGTATTGAACGCATCTATCCAACGAAATAAAGACAAAGGATACCGCAGATACACTAAAGCCTGCCTCCTATCTTGACATAACTTTTAGAAAGTAGCAATATGAATCGCTTCAGAAGAAACGTTTCAAGAGAAAAGAGCAATTTAAATTGTGAACTTTCTATTTTTGTTTTTTATGTAGCAATATTCTTAAAGCGTCTGCGTATGTAGTACATATCTCCAAGATGAAACAATATTTAAAAGCTTTCGTTTCCCTATCACAATTTCCTTGATAGATGGATGCTGTTTACAAGGATGCTATTAAACAAATGGTTAATAGTGGTTATATTGTAGTTATCCATTCTTAAATTTAACGAATGCCATCATTGTTATTCTTAGTTGTGTTTGCAGTACAAAACAAATAATGAGACAGCATTTAAAATATGTTTTTTTCCTCGAGAATATTGTTATCGTTTGGAATGTCTCTTTTAAATCGATTAAATTCACTGTCAGAAAACACCATGAAATTCCTTTACATTTGCAAACAGACTGCATTCCATTATTTTGTTGCTTATTAAAGAAACTATACTGTTCTTATTGTATTATCATGCTTAAGAAATTAATTTGGGTTAATACACCTCCTGATCATCTGTCATTTTTCGCAATATGCATGCTAGCTCTACATAAAAAGTATGAATAATTCAGTTCTCAGTCGTTTTCTTTGCACTAGTTTGAGTACAATCAATACCTCCGGTAGGTTATGGTTTTGTTGTTTTAATTTCATTTTCTAAACTTTTCCCTCCCTCAGCTAATTACTGATGACCTTCGTTTTTGCAACAGTTGACACAAGCAGGAAGGTGTCTAAGTGACTGTTGTGTCCAGAATATAATCCTCTCACAAGTCCGTGTTTAAATCCTTTACCAAGCATGTCGGGCTAAACTGACTCTTAACAACACTGTATCATCTGTAAGTGAAACACGAAACAAACTAAAAAACTGTTTAAATTTGATAACAGGTGACCAACTGACTAGTCATTGAATTAACAAAACTTACGGAACCAGGAGTTACCATGATTAGAAGTATATAAATTAACTAGTCTTATTAGGGATTATATTATAGTTTACAGATTGGTATATGTCGGTGAAGTGGAAGCAAGGCTAAACAAAAAAAAAATTGCGACCATAGAAGAGACTTTAACGACAAGATAATTGACATTATTTTCCAACATTGTAATAAGTCTGACAATACAATCCTTCTATACAAGTTTGCATCAGTAAGAAATTACAATGCATGTTGAACTAAAATGACTATGAACACAACTGGAATATTTCTAAATGAAAAAAAAAAAAAAAACCGTTGAAATTTGATAACATGTTCTATTTAAAAGCATTTACCACTGTAAAAGCATTCCTCATCTGCAACGCATCTATGAAAAGAAAAGAATACTACATTAATTATAAAAAGGTTCGGCCTTTTTATTAACGGGTTCCTCATGAAAATTCAAGTATGAGAAGCTGATTATGGGGAGTTGCAGAAAGGCTTAAATAAGTTTAGAATTACCCAGATTTATGTTTTAATTTTGAATGACCTAATGGTTAAAATGATTAATTTAGCCAAATCCACCGGGAGACATGAACA